GGGCGGAAGGACTCAGCAGGTATAATGTCATAGGGTCTACCCTCCAAAGCATCCATTTTCTCCAGGGGAACTGATCTCTGTCATCTGGAGATCAATTGTAGCAGTGGGAGATCTCCAGGTCCCACCTGGAGATTGGCAACCCTAGGGGGAAGTCAGCTGCACACCAGGGGGTTGAAGAGAATGGTTTGATGGCTGCTGGGCCAAGATTGGCAACAATAGTTCCCCAGGAGCCCCATCGTAAATGCACCAAACAATTCCTCAAGATTTTCCAAAACACTTCTCTGTTTTGGGCTCCTGGGGAACTTTGAAGTAGCACCAAAGCTTTAAGATCTCTCCAGCTGTCACCTGGAGACTGGCAACAGCTTGTCTGGAGTGTGGGCAGCATGGCATTGTATCTGTCTGAGGTCCCCCTCTTCCTCCTCCTCCTCAAATCCCACCCTCAGCAGGCTTCATCCCTAAAATATCCTGGAAGTTTCCAACCTGGAGTTGGCAACCCTATGTACTGGAGTTCGAACCTGGAGTTGGCAACCATCAGCCAACGTTTATCTGCCTGTCTGTCTTTACAACCCCCCCCCACACACACACACACACACAGCCTCTGCCTAGGGAGCAGCTGACATCATTCTCCTCTCCCAACTGAAAATTCCAACTGCCTTGGGGGGGGGTGAGTTTGAGGTGTGGAATGGAGTGTAGTCCAATCAGCTTCCATATGTAAATGACCTTGGAACGCTGGCCGGGACTGCACAAAGCAGCCAATGAACCCAGCCAGTGTCTTCCGAGTGGCAGTTTTTTCGGCCTAACACTAAAGGAGTGCATTTTAGAACTTTGGCACCCAAAACTCTTTTATTATAAGGGAGAGATTGTTGTAACCCACCCTGAGGCTTTCCGGGAAAGGTGGTATGTAAATTTAATAATAACGATGATAGTAATAATGAATACGAGGAAGCTGTTTAATTCTGGGGCTAATGTTTCTACCATTTCCTTATAAAATTCACTTGTAAACCCATCTAGGCCCGGGGATTTTCCCTTTCTGAGTTCTTTGATTACATCCCTTATCTCTTGTAATGTAATTTCCTCACGTAATTTGGCCTGTTCGTCCTCCTTCAGTGTTATCTTTACATCTTGTACAAAATTTACTACATCCTTTTTCTTATATAGTTTTTCATAGAAAGATTCAAACGCTTCCCTTATTTCTGATGGGTTTTGAGTTTTTTGGCCATTTACCTTTATGCTTTTCACCCTTTGTTTTTCTTTCCTATTTTTCAGGTAATTTGCTAGTCTTTTTGCCGAGTTAATACTGTTTCTTTGAAATTCATTTCTCACCATGGTCTCCCTTTTCCATAGTGTTGCTAAATCTAGTGTCTCCAATTGCTTTCTAATTGCCTTTATTTGGTTTTCTAACATAGGGTTCTGTTTGTGTGTTAGTTTACTTTGTAACCTCCCTAGTTCTTGGATTTTAGCTTGTCTTCCCTGATGCCACTCCTTTTTTATATTCTTTTCTTTCTTTATGCAGTGCCCCCTTATCACTGCCTTTGCTGCGTCCCATAGTATATTTGTGGGCACTGTTCCTCTATTTTCCTCAAAGTAAAGCTTTATCTGTTCAGTCATGTGTTGTCTGTCCCTATCTGTGGCCATTATTAAATTATTATATCTCCAGGTTCTATTTATTGGTTGTTGTGTAATTTCTATTTCTACACTTATCGGAGCGTGGTCCGATATCCATATCGGATGTGTTGTGATGTCTTTGATGAACCTGTCACTATTTTTTTCTACAATTATATAGTCTATACATGATGCTGTTTTATATCTACTAGATATATGTGTGGGTTTAGGCTGGTACCCCATAGACTCATGTGCTTCTATCAGGCCCCAATTTCCCAACTTCAGTGATTTATCTTTTCCCATGTCTAAATTTAAATCTCCTGCTATAATAATAATTCCCTCGGAAAATTGTTTAGTTTTTTTTAATATTTTGCCCAGTAATTTCTTTTGTCCTTTATTTGGAGCATAAATATTTACTATTGTGTACTTCTTATCATTCATTTTAAACTTTACTAGCAGGTATCTACCATTCCTATCCACCTTTTTTTCCACTTCCTCTAGATTGAGTTTCTTTTGAATTAGTACTGCTACCCCCTTACTCTTAGTATTACATCTAGCTTCTGCTAGTATCTCCCAGGCTGAGTCGTTTAGCAATGGCTTACAATCTTTATTTTTTTTGTGTGTTTCCTGGAGGCATAATACATCAATATTTTCCTCTTTTGCCAGCTTGGCTATCCTGAACCTTTTAAGGTTGGAGGTTAAACCATTGACATTCAGTGTGAGTAGTCTTATTGTTCTATCCATATTCTTTATGATTCTGGGCTTTGGGTCCCCGTGGCTGAGGGATTTTTATGCACTTTGTTATTCTCCCTCCCCTCCCCCTCCCCCCTCCCTGTGGTAGAGTAAGCTCATAGGGAGAATAAGTTCTCCCCTCTCTCCACATCGTGGGTTACACACATCCCCTCCTCCCCCTCCATACTTAGATTATTAACATTAACTTAATTATGCATAGATACTTCCCTTTAGGTGGTTCCTTCTAACGACTCTGTCCTGGGACGTTTCTCTCCTCTTTCTGAAGTTCCTTCTGCCGGGTTGCATCGTCTTCTAAGTCTTCTTCCATTTCTTGCTCTCTCACATCTTCAGTGTCTATTCTGAGATTGTCTTTCGCCTCCTGGATGTTCCGTGCCATAAGCCTCTTTCCTTCTCGAAATATAATTATTGAGGCTGGGTAGCCCCAGATAAATTTTACATTATTAGAGTGTAGTTTTGGGGCATATGGTCTCATTAAATTCTTTCTTCTAAGCATCTCCTGGCAAAAGTCCTTCCTGGGCCAAACTTTTCTTCCTCTGAAACATAAATCGTCTTCTTTAGCTCTTTATATATTTGTTGCTGCGTTTTTTCTCTGGAGAACTTGATGATAACATCACGAGGGGCCCCTCCCTTACCCCTTCCTTGCAGACGATGTGCTCTCTCGATGTCTTCTGGCTGGACCTTAATGTTGTAAGTTTCTAGCCATTCTCTTAGTGTTGGTTCCAAATTCTTAGCAGCTACCTCTTCTGAAATTCCTGTGAGAATTAAATTAGCTCGCCTGCTTCGGTCTGACAACTCATTCATCTGGCTTGCCAGTAAAGTAATCTTTTGTTCATTTGCCAAGGCCTTCCCTTTAGCAAAGTCTGCTGTTTGTTTAATATCTGCTATCTCCTTCCCTAATTTTGCAACATCTGCTCGAACAGCCTTAATATCCTCCCTAATTTTTTCCTGAGATTCTAGGAAAATATTTTGGAGAGTTGTAATCTGTTCTGATAGCTCCTTAATATTTTTAGCCATCCTTAATGATTTAATTAGGGCTTAATGAGCTGGCCGTTTGCTATGCTGAGCCTTATCTTGCTGAGCAGTAGTAAATAAAGGTCTTTTAACTTGCCGTCTGGATTCCCTGGTTCTGTTTGCTTTCTTCTTTCCTTATCACCTAATTCTCTGCCAAGGTTTGGCTATTTACACTTCTTTAAGCTGTAAATACCTTCGTTTCGGGGGAGCTCAGAGCTTCAGCATCCTACTTGATTTAGCGCATGCGTGCCAACCTTGTCAGCTGCTCTGAGACACCTTTGGGTAGTGAAGGGCAGGCTATAAATCCAATCTCTTATTATTATTATTATCCCCCCCCCCTTTCCTGCTCTTTGGGAAAATAAGGGGCCCACTTCCCAAGTGGTCCGGATGCTTCAGGCACACAGAGCGGCACAAGAGAGCGGCCTGCCTGGGCTGGGGGGGGCGGGGGGAGGCTCGCCCTCCCTTGGTTGCCTGCAGCTGCTGCCGTGGCAACTGGTTTCCTGAGCCTTCGTGCTCTGCTGTCCCCCTTTGGGAAAGCGAGTTCCCGAATGGAGCCCAGGGCTGTGTTGGTCATTATTGTGTGGCTGTGTTGCACCCTGTGCCTGCTGCATGGGACTGGCTGGCTGATTTGGGGAGGGGGGAGAGAGACTAAAGGGAGGGGCGGGAATTTGCAGGTTCACATGTCCTCATCCACTTTTAAGTCTCCCATTTGTCTCTCGGCCTATGTCTGCTGTTCACTATCTCCCCTCTCTGGCTCTGAACCCTTCTCTGCCAACTTCCCCTGTGCTACGACATCGGTGCTAGATCGTTTCACAGGTGCGTGCACACCCCCCCCCCCCCAAGACTTCTATCTTCCCTCCCTCGCACCAAGGCTTGCGGGCCAGATAAGAGCCCTGGAGGGGCCAGTTCCGACCCTCCGGCCATACGTTTGACACCCCTGCTTTAGAATATTTATTCTTAAGGGAGGGCAGAGACAGAGTGTTGGACTGGATGGGCCTTTGGGCTGATCCAACATTGGCGTCTCTTATGTTCTTATGGTCATCTCCATTTCCAAGCTGAAGAGCCAGCGCTGTCTGAAGACATTTCCGTAGTTGTGTGGCCGGCATGACTAGATGCCGAGGCGCACGGAACGCTGTTACCTTCCCACCAAAGCAGTCCCTGTTTACCTACTTGCAATTTCTTGCTTTCAAACTGCTAGGTTGGAAGGAGCTGGGGCCAGAGACGGGAGCTCACTCTGTCTTTAGGTGCTCCTGGGCTCAACATTAGGTGTTCGTGGAAAGTGTCATATCCTCACACCAGGCATCCCTTTCTTTCTGCAGGTGATGTGTGGCGGTCAGCAAATGGAGAAGAAGGACCCCGATTGATGGAAAAAGACAATACATATTCAGACGTGAGAGAGAAGTTTGAATATTTGGATGCACCAAAGAAGGAGGAGGGAAAACACCCCCCTAAAGAGAGGAAGAATTCTGGTCTTTTGCAGGCGGGTGAGTCTCTACAGCAAAATACATGTCAAGGAGACAACAGGGAGGAGTGCACTGCAAGCAAGAAAAGTTTCACTGACATATCAGTTATTAATATTAACCAAAGGAGGTGTAACAGAAAGAAAATACATAAATGCCGGGAATGTGGAAAAGGTTTCCGGCAGAGAGAGCACCTTACTTCCCATCGAAGAATTCACACAAGGGAGAAACCATACAAATGCCTGGAGTGTGGGAAAAGCTTCAGTCGGAGTGACAGTCTTACTTCCCATCGAAGAATTCACTCAGGGGAGAAACCATACAAATGCCTGGAGTGTGGAAAAAGTTTCAGTCGGAGTGACAGTCTTAATTTCCATCAAAGAATTCACACAGGGGAAAAACCATACAAATGCCTGGACTGTGGGAAAAGCTTCAGTCGGAGTGCACACCTTACTTTCCATCAAAAAATTCACACAGGTGAGAAACCATACAAATGCCTGGAGTGTGGGAAAAGCTTCAGTCAGAGTAATAGTCTTACTTCCCATCAAATAATTCACACAGGGGAGAAACCATACAAATGCCTGGAGTGTGGGAAAAGCTTCAGTCGAAGTGACAGTCTTACTTCCCATCAAATAATTCACACAGGGGAGAAACCATACAAATGCCTAGAGTGTGGGAAAAGCTTCAGTCGGAGTAACACTCTTACTTCCCATCAAAGAATTCACACAGGGGAAAAACCATACAAATGCCTGGAGTGTGGGAAAAGCTTTGGTTCCAGTACCATTCTTGCTTCCCATCAAAGAATTCACACAGGGGAGAAACCATACAAATGCCTGGAGTGTGGGGAAAGCTTCAGTCAGAGTGGAATACTTACTACCCATCGAAGAATTCACTCAGGGGAGAAACCATACAAATGCCTGGATTGTGGGAAAAGCTTCCGTTGGAGGTACAGTCTTACCCTCCATAGAAGAATTCACACAGGGGAGAAGCCATACAAATGCCTGGAGTGTGGGAAAAGCTTCAGTCACAGTGGATACCTTGCTTCCCATCGAAGAATTCACACAGGGGAGAAACCATACAAATGCCTGGAGTGTGGGAAAAGCTTCAGTCGGAGTAACACTCTTACTTCCCATCAAAGAATTCACACAGGGGAAAAACCATACAAATGCCTGGAGTGTGGGAAAAGCTTTGGAACAAAATATTCCCTCATCTCCCATCAAAGAACTCACACAGGGGGGAAAGTATACAAATGCCTGGAATGTGGGAAAAGCTTCAGGAACAGGGGACACCTTGCTTCCCATCAAAGAACTCACACAGGAAAACCATATATATGCCTGGAGTGTGGGAAAAGCTTCAGTCGAAGTAGTACTCTTATCTCCCATCAAAGTATTCATGCAGGGGAGAACCTATATAAATGCTTGGAGTGTGGGAAAAGTTTTAGAAGAAAAGATACTCTCATTTCCCATCAAAGAATTCACACTGGGGAGGAGCCTTACAAATGCTTGGAGTGTGGGAAAAGCTTCAGTCCCAGTTTATACCTTGGTGTCGGTCAGAAAATTCACAGAGGGGAGAAGTCATATAAATCCCTGGAGTGTGGGAAAAGCTTCAGTCCCAGTTTATACCTTGGTGTCGGTCAGAAAATTCACAGAGGGGAGAAGTCATATAAATCCCTGGAGTGTGGGAAAAGCTTCAGTCCCAGTTTATACCTTGGTGTCGGTCAGAAAATTCACAGAGGGGAGAAGTCATATAAATCCCTGGAGTGTGGGAAAAGCTTCAGTCACAGTGGAAGCCTTACTTCCCATCAAAGAATTCACACAAGGGAGAAACCATATAAATGCCTGGAGTCTGGGGAAAGCTTCAGTTGCAGTTCACACCTCAGTGTCCATCAGGAAATTCATACAGGGGAGAAACTATAGAAATGCCCAGAGTGTGGGAAAAGCTTCAGTCACAGTTTATACCTTGGTGTCGGTCAGAAAATTCACAGAGGGGAGAAGTCATATAAATCCCTGGAGTGTGGGAAAAGCTTCAAAGTGCACACTTTAATGACCATCAAAAAGTTCACCAAGTGGAGAAACCATACAAAGGCATGGAGTGTGGGATAATCTGTGGTCACAGTAACGTTCTTACTTTCCATAGAAGAAGTCAGACAGGGGAGAAACCAGGGGAGAGGAAATTCATGTTTTTAATTGTATTTATGAATGTTTATGCATTATGTGGTTTCATAACCTCTGTAAATTTTGATTCCTGGTCAGGAAAACTACCAGAATTTCATAATCACCTCTCAACCTTGACAGTTCCTTGGAATAACTGATGAAACAGGACATTTATTCCTCTGGAACTGCAAACAACTGCTGTCTTGAGTCTATAACCTTGCTTTGAGAATTTAATTGCAGTTACCAAGATGTATTATAGTCCATGCAGTATAGTCACTCATTTGCACAATTGCTTGAGGTTCCAATTGTTTTATCTGGAGGACAATCATGTGTTCAAGTTCAAAGGTTTTCTCTTCCTCTGTCACCTCTATCAAAAATGTCACATAAGGGTCAAATGAGGCTTTCTAGGTGGCTTCCAATCAGAAAAGACCTTATATCAGGTGAGCCTATCATGTGTGTTGGGTATCCCACTGTACATAGCCACCCACCCATCAGCTTAAAAATGGACTTGCCTAAATCTTAAAGAATTGTAATGCTTAGGTATTTAGCTACGTTGGAGGAATGTTCGGAGACCTGATTTTTATCGAGCGCAGTTTTCTGCCGTTGTATGATTAATGTTCACCTTTTCCTCAGATTCTTGCCTAATACAAAGTGCATGCTTTATTTTAAATAAAAACATTTTATCTAAGAAGTTCCCTGCTTGTTCTTCTGACACAAGATCTGAAGACTGGCCTCAGATATTTCATTGCATTGGAAGAGATGAGTCTCTCAGAAAGTTTGCTCAGTGAAACCTTCATGGGTGCTTCTGCAGCTGAGTTCAGCTCATGAGGGTTTAACTTCTGCAAGAGCTGTGTTCAGTGCAGATCCCTAGACAGAATGCAAATTGAATAGTTCATCACATGAACTTCGGCAGTGGATAGGGAAATGAATTTTTCTTGGGGAAAATCAACTCCCTTGCAGGGGTGCTTTTCCGACTGCCTCCATCTGCATTCCTGGGTTTTCCTATGAGGCTGCTGCTTCCCTTTATCCACAGCTGCAGAAGACTGTCGCCACAGGGTTCTTTTAACTAGTTTTCACAGCCCAACAGTGAGGGCCGGGGAGGGAAGCTGCTATTTTTGTCCTGCACACATCTCCAGAGTTATCAGGCTCAATTCAGCTGATTGGCCACCACATACAAAGCCCGTCCCAGCCTGGGTCCCTCCTACCTGCAGGACCGCCTCTCCCTCTCTGCTCCACCAAAACAGCTGGGGCTCCTCTGAGCAGGGCCTTCTGCAGGTGGCTCCCTGCGAACGGGCAACATCGACTTCCTGTTGTCCCTGTGCATTCTGTGTTGTGCCCAGAGCCTGTGGGAATCGCCTGGCTGAGGAGGTGTGGAAGGCTTCCATTCCCCTGGCTTCCGGCAAATTATGGAATGAAATGCTTTTTAGAAAGATGTTTTGGTATAGGGACAGGGACTGCTGATTGAGAAGAATCTTGCCCACAGACCCACCAACCTCCACATTCATTGGGGACCCGCGTGCAGCCTGCGCATGGACAGGCTGTGTGCACACTCACCAATCACTGCCATAGTGAGGAACACAAATGCGCCACCAAGGTACGGGTGGGGGGGGGAACCTGGAGAGAACTGCCTCAGCAATTTCCACAGTGTGGCCCTGTCTTCTTCCTTGGTTTCTCCCCCTCCTGCCCCACTGCTCCAGAGCGACCCCCCCATGACTCAAACCAGACTCACTGCCCCATAGCTCAGTATTGCATAGATTGTATGTTAAATTATTTACAGTTCCATTAGTCAGCCATTTATCCAGAAGAAGAGATGTTGAAACGTCTATAAACCTAGGAAACATGTTGGTAGTTCGGCCATAGAAGATTTTTCACGGGTCGTCCTCGGCTTAATTTATGACTGCCAGAGGTCTTTGGACACTGTTATTGCATTTAAGCAAGGAGAATCGACGGGTTGGATTTATGTACCCAATCAGAATGGTGTGACGGATATAAGACAACGTCTGATGGAACCGATAATTATGATTTATTTGTAACTCTCATAGGGGGTATAAAACTTTATGTCTCCCATTGTAACCTGAGGGAGAACTGTGGGGTCCAAAACCTTATTGGATCTGCACCTTCCTCCTTTGTTGATCAATAAAGTACATAAGAACATAAGAGACGCCACTGTTGGATCAGGCCAAAGGCCCATCCAGTCCAACACTCTGTGTCACACAGTGGCCAGAAGTACCAGTGCCATCAGGAGGTCCACCAGTGGGGCCAGGACACTAGGAGCCCTTCCACTGTTGACTCCCCCCCCCCAAGCACCAAGAAGACAGAGCATCCCTTGCCCCAGAGCCCCTATCTATACCTTGTGGCCAATGTTCCCTCTAAGCTGTGGAGTCCTGTGAGCAAAAATTCTACTTTGTGAGCTGCTGGCATTAAAGTTGTGAGCGAGTGATTTGGCCACTGCATACATTAATTTGCTCTGGAGCCATCCTTCCTGAGCGAAGACAAAAATGTGTGAGCCGGAGGCTAAAAAACGGTGAGCTAGCTCACACTAACTCAGCTTAGAGGGAACACTGCTTGTGGCTAATAGCCACTGATGGACCTCTGCTCCATATTTTATATTCTAATTCCAACAGAGGGCGTGTTGTGCGGATATTTTCCACTAACAGGAAGCTCACTCTTCCCCAACAGCTTTTCCTACATAGTCAGTATACTTCCTGTGTCTGCAGAAAAATCCAAGAAGTAAATTAGAATGTTGGGGGGGGGGGAGGCTTCTAACTGGCTCTGTCAGTCAAAGGGTGGGGGAAGGGCCCTTTCCAGGCCCCTTTTGGCCTTTCAGGGAGGGAGGGAGGGAGCTGTGGG